TATTTTTTCTGTATAAATTTGCATTGCTTCAGGTTAGACTATTGAGAGTGAAAAAATCACACCTAAAAATCCTAATACAAGTGGATAAAGCAAGCTGTGACAGACATCTTGGACTATATAGGCTCTGTTATACCATACAAGATTTTATTTTATTGCACATATAAGCAATTAAATACAAAATTCCTCCATTCACATTGATACTCCTAGCAGCTGTTGCAAAAGTATTCACTGATATGCAGATATTCCTCTCTAATCCTCCACATAAGCCTTGTAGCCACAGAGGGCTTTGTAGAGTCAGCACAAATCAATGCATCTCATTTAATTAATGCTGAAGGGGGAAATAATCTCACACTAATAAGGCAGCAGACAAACTATCCTGACTGCTTGACTGTGCCTAAGGTCTTAACAGTAAACGGACATGAATTAGGAAGAGTAATACGACCTATATAAAACTGCTGCATCTGTCTGCCATGCTACTCTGTTTGCCTTCAGTAGGCTCACACAAACACAAGCACCACTCAGCTTATGTGGGTCATGATTCATAATTGATATGTGGTGGAGAAAAACTAAATACTGAAGAGCAAACAGTTTAGTTCATAAGCATGGCAGTGGTTTGCTTTTGGTTTTTTGTCATGAAAAGGTACAATTTAAATGAACAATGAAGAGAATCCCTCTCAATTTTTTTTTCACAAATACGTGGAAACAGATTGTTGGCAGACACATGTTATTATCCACAGAGCTCTAGTTCACTATTCATGGCAGGGATAAAGCTGTGAAAAACAACTGTGGCTTTTCTAGTGGAGGAAAAAACCCTCTCACATTGACTAACAAAATAAGTTATTATATTTATCCAATAAAATTATCTATGTAGAATTGAAAAACAGGAAGCAGAGAAAGGGCAATTTATGTGTCTTCCACTAAGGGAAACAGGTAAAGAGCAGCTCAGTTACCCCTTTTAGCTGATGCTCCCACACCTGCTGACACCTGGAAGCTCTTAGCTCTTGCCCACACTCTGCAGAACTGGAGTGGATGAAAATACCAGTGGCAGAATATTTCAAATGGCTGCTGAATAGTGTAAACTTTCTTACCAATACATTTAACTCAAATGGAAACAAAATATTCTGAAAACAAAAGTCAAAATATTTGGAATATATTACACAGATAAAAAATAAAGTAAAGAAAAAAATAAACCACCTTGTCTCTCTGCAGCTGAAACTTAAGTCTACTTTAAACTGTTTGGGATTTTTTTGAAGTCCCTGTCAAGCTACAGAAAGCTAAGGACCCTCTGCAGGACTTCTGCCCTCTTCTTCCTACAGTTCTAACCTTGCAATACCAATACAGTTATTTAACTATATTTTGCCTTTCCTTTTCTTTCACAGTCACTCCTGTCTTCTTGAGAAACGTGTTTGCACTTGGGACTTTATAACTGCACCCAGAATTTCAAAAATTATCACAAGAATCCTCGGATGGGCATACTAATTTAGGGTGGTCCTTGTGTCCCATCTATCCTTTAGGTCCTTGGTGTCTGTGAAACAGTCTGTTAGTTAACTCTTGTTAAATCTTTTGAACATGAGATGTGCCATGCAGGAAAGAGAGCCCTGAAGTATTTATTCCTGTGGCTCTGTTTACCTTTTATTTTCTGAATAAATAACCAATTTGTGATGATAAGCAAGTAACATTTTGTAAAACAAACACCTTATGAATTTTTTGGCACAGCAGAGCAGGTCTGTCTTCTCATTCCTCTGCTCAAAACAACATTACTTGCTGTTCATGGCTTTGTAAATTTACATGGTAATATTTACATAAAACTTTTGAAAGTATCACAATTTGAGTTTCTTGTGTAATTTGAATACACCACAAAACATATCTCATGACATATTAATAACATCAGTGTGGGTGCAGTTTGTCCTTGTCAGGTTTAGAGGTTGTTGTCACAGCTGAAGTCCAGTTATCTCCATTTCTCATTTCAGGATTTCATAGTGTGAGAAGACAACAAAAGCTCAAGCTGGGTACCAGACAGGAAATATCTTCCCTTAAATGTTGGTCTTATTTTCCCTCCTAGTACAAGCTAATTTGCTAAATCATATCCTATAAAAATTGCAGTAATATATTACATAATATATTACTTGGAAAAGAAATAAGAGACCCACAGGAACTAAGAGTAAAAGAGGTAACATAGAAGAAAAACCTGATGACACTTATGATCAGTTAAAAAAATTAGTGAAAAACCCAGTGAAAAATCAGTTATAAAATTAGTGGAAAATCATTGCTATAAGGAAATAGGCACTTCTGTTAAAATTTACAAAAATAACCCAAGCAGGCTTGAATTATCTGTCTTGTCAAGTTCTGCTTGAAAAGCCAAATGCAAATTGATGGGAAGCTACAAGGCACTTTTATTTTCTAGCAGGTGGGGTACTATTGTGCTACCACAGAAGTCCCTTGTTGATTTGGCATCATATAGCTTTTATGTTTGTTCTTAAAGAAAACAAAACCAAACAAAACAAAACCCCAAACAGCAACAACAAAAAAACAAACAAAACAAAACAAACCCAAAAAAAAACCAAAAAAAAACCCAAACCAAAACAAAGACCACACTGAAACATAGAGAAGATGCCAAACTGAAGAACTGTCACATAACAAGGGCATGAGAATAACAAGAAAAGCACAGTAAATAAATACTGGGAAAATATAAAATACGATTTAACTGGCAAAGCAGAAGTTTGCACATGTTGAGAAAAATAAAACAAATCATCAGAATGTAATCCATGAATACAAAGTAGTTATTCAGAAAAGGCAGTAAATATATACTGAAATTAGACTGAAAAAGCTATATAATTTGCTCTAGCTCCCTTGTATTTTCAAAAATATGCTAAACCTGGAAAAATGCTGAAGGCAGACAATAAATTAGGTAAGCTTTATGTAAGCCTATACTATGTATATGTACAATACCTATCAATAACAGAGGATCTACTGGGAAGGAAACCATAAATTTAGTGGTGTATTCATTAGCATCAGTTTAAACCTTTATCATCAAAATCATGTTAGGTACTTCATTTCCTGTATACATGAAATTTCCCGTCAAACAATTTTAGGAAAGTAGAAGGAATAGAGGATTATACAGGATTAGTTCAATATGAATTCCAAGCTTCATCTGCTCACACATTACAGCATGGAGCAAGTTAATGTGTACTCTCCCTCTCAGATGGAAGTGATGAGAAAACACAGACAGGAGGGGTGTGAGGTGGTGGGTGGTGCATTGGAATATCAAGGAACTAGACATCTTAGTGAACTGATCTTGAAAGAAAGAATACAAAAGAAAACAACACCTAAAAACAAAGATTTCAGGCTTCCCAACCTACAATAAATACGGTAATGACAAGAAAACATTTCCATTTTACAAAGTTAAAGGAGACTTCAAATCTCCCATGACAAAAAAAAAAAAAAGAAAAAAGGATGGAACTAGAGAAAGAAAGAGCACAACAAAGCATTACTATATTGTGTTTTTGGAAGGATGCCTGCGAGTGCTAATAGCATATAAACAGTAGCCCTGGCTATAGCAGGAATAACAGTAACACATTGTTAGCAGCTTTTCCACTGGATTATTATTCATTGTGGTCACTGAATGTAGGCCACATTCCCTGATAAAATCTACTGGATCAGAAATTACTATCATGAAGAGAGAATTATATCAGGGTAAACAAGGATGGTTTAGAATATACTTTTTTATTCCTCTTCTATTTCTTTGATTCTTGCAATGGAATTGCACTTCAAAAAGCACAGCCAGGGCTTGAAAGCAGCAACACCCACACTTGTTCTACACCAAAAGTTATTCCTAGCAGCAGCATGTTACTCACCACATACGACACCAACAACATGCTCTTGGACAAACAGTTTCTTTCCTATTTTTTGACACAAAAGCTGGCAGTGCCCATTCTTCAAGTCATTCAAAACTGATTGGCAGTGGGCCACCACTTCCCCTAGTTTTCTACATACTGAAGTTCTTTTACAATTTTCCACTTTTCAAAGGTCACTCTGAACTTAATGCTGAAAAGTGATTAATTTCTAACATAATATATGCTAACACCTTGACGTGGAATTTCTAGTTTATCATATCTCTAAACTCAAATTAATAGTGCAAATTAAAATTGCCTTATTTAATTAAATCTCTTTGATTAGCTATTTAAAATATATCCAAATAAATAAATGAAATTTCTGTTATCTTAATTTAACATTAGAGAGTAGAACCCATATGTGAATTAAACTTAGATTGACCTTTGAACGGCACTAACACCCAGCTTTTCATACCAATTTCTCAGATACAAGTTTGTACTGCAAGCAGGAAAAAAATGGACACAAAAACTCCCCTGATGTCAATTAGCACATTTCTGGCTCGCTGAAAACCAGAAACTGCCTGTTTTGATCCTAATGCTACAGATGCATCCCCTTTAGGAAGGAACACTGTTCCTTCCTGGAGCGATGTAAATACAAAGAATATAAAGTCTTTAACCATCCTAGCTCTACACAAGACAGATTTACACAGAGAAAAAATGCAGTGTGCTGTTGAGCTCAGGTCAATGCATGCCTGTTAGTTAAGGTGCTGAAGAGCAAATGGTAGAGATAAAGCTATTTAAGGGTTTAAAGCTATCTAAAGAATCAGTGGAAATAATTTCACCCTTTCCAAAATAGTCCTGTGTTTGTTTACTTTTTGTGAATTTGCCCCTTCTAAATGGCTTTATTCTTAAATTTCTAGCTACAGTTATCAGGAAAAATAAGATTTTAATTTTTTTCAATTAAAATACCTAGTTAGTAGTTCACCCTGATTTTACTTAATTTCACTGTTTTAAAAGTCAGCAAAAACATGCTAGGTTTGAAGGTATCTTGGGATAAAAGGCAGCCTGACCAATAAATATTAATCTGCTAATTCTACTTGGACATATATTATGTTAAACTTAAATAAAGCACATAAGTAAACAGATGAAAGAAAATAGGTTTGTAAATACCGTGACTGTTGCATCGCGAAGTTTCCACGAGTCGATTGTTTTGGTCATAGCATGCCATGGCCTGGTAACGGTAGCCTTGTCCACATTCCTTAACGTCTCCTTGTACCTTCATTCCCAGCAGCACTTCCATCTTACCCTCTGGTAAAATACAGTCTGACCAATTGCCCACAGGCTGAGCGCTGTACTTGTCACACGGGCAAAACTGATTCTCAATCAGAGGATACAACTGAGAATTTCTACATTTGTCCTTTTTCTTACTTTTTCCTAGAAAGAAGAGATAGTTCTTAGCAAGTTTGTATCAGCTTACAGCTTATCTCCCAAAAATTTAATTTAGGCTTCTGTAACAGGTGCTTGCAACTACATACATACATACACCTAATACTTGTTACATTTATCTTTATTAAATTTGGTTATTGACTTGAATTTCTAAAGTAGTGGATACCTACAATTTGCAAAAAGGCAATTTATTTTTTAAAAAGAAGATGTAATTTATATTTAATCTGGATTAAAATGTTTCAGGAGTAAAGTTTGAAAAAGTTAGCAATAAAACAAATACACTCTTTTCCTGCTATTTCATCAGCAGTGTGCAGTTCAATAACAAGATTTCTATCTGGAACAAGCTTTTTCAATTTGAAGGAAGAAGTCAAGAAGGGAGTAACGTGCACCTTTGCTACACTAGAACCTTCTTTCAAAATATCAAAATTCTTTAATCACCTGTTATTGTACATTTGTTCATAATTACCATACTTTCCCTCTAATAGAATAAGCTCCTTCTCTGAATTTGTTTCCATTCAGTACTGTTCTTGCTTTCTTTCCTGAACCGGAGCATACCCATCCACTCAATTTCCCCTTTCCACTAAATATATTTAAATCTTCTCTTTGGTAAAGTTTGCTTGGTTTTCCTTTCCGTACCAGTTTACATAAATTAATGTAGTAGTCTTTACAAAAGTAGTGGTTGTTACTAAGTAGTATCTCAGTAGCTGTTACTTAGCTATTACTCTTAACATAATATTCTGTAGCATTTTCTTCACTATTCAAAACAAGGCACTGGACATTGCAGCATCCTTAGTTCTTGTATTTGCTACTGTCCTCATTTAGAATAGTAGAATAGAAAATGGGTACCTGGAGACAACTTTCTCATTCTTTTGACAACACAATTTCTTTTTAAATGTATGCTTCTCCTCTGGAAGTATTTACTGGGAATAACTATGAATTTATTCCAAGTCAAGCATTATGAATTAGTCTGGGTAACACATTGCCACAGAGAATACATCATAGCATGTATCACACAGTTGGCAAGTTTGAAGGGGTAACTTAAATGAAGACAGGAAGTATCACAAAGTGTCGATAATGTGAAAGGAAGAATATGCACTTTCTTTCTCTGTTTTTAAAATAAGGAAAAATACTGTTTGTCAGTTTTGTTCATTTTTTTTCCCTTGTGGAAGCAAACCTGACATAAAGCTTACTGGAATTATTAGACAGTCACAGTGAGACTTCTTGAAGATCATGAATTATTCATTTTCCACTGGTCTTCTGATTTACAGGGGGATGGAGACAGGGATAGGGTTTGGATCCTATCACATTCTTTCTGAGCCTGCTAATGGGCACCCCCCTTAGCTAGCTTTCCTGCACCACAGACAATGCAGACTAATTGGCAAAGAGTGCTGTGACAGAGGCCAAGCCTCACTCTTGAGGAATCAATTATAATTTAGAAGTAGGGCATGGGGCTTTTTTCACTTTATGCAAAAGAAAAAATAATTTAAAAAACCACCAAAACCAATGAACAATAGACTAAAAAGAAGTTGAAGAAAAAAATGTTTCAAAGTGGAACAGTGTCCAAACTGGCAAGTCTATGGCAAGGGCATCACTGGTAAATCTTTTTATTCTGCTAAATAAAACTTTAAGACCCTGCTTGGGACACAAACAAAAGGAGCATTATTAATTATCTCAAGAAATAAGGCAAAAAATTAGCCAGCGTATTGCCTTATGTGGTCTGTGGTGCTGGATGCAGACAATGAAGAATGGCGAAAGAAAGAACTGGGAGAGCAAACATTCAGCTGGAGAAAGAACTGGCTTAATCAAAAATCTGACATTCAAGACTGCAGCTAAGTTCAAAAGAGGTAAGCCAAAGCTTAAGGCTGAAAATGGTGGTCTATAGCAAAATGCTGAAACACACTCAGCTGCCATAGCAGTTCTAAATGCACCAAAGAGGACCATGAGAGAAGGAAGTCTGCTTTAGCCGAGAGCAGGTGTGGGAAGAGGAAGGCAAGTGGGTTAACATCCGATCCTGTTAAGGTGAGATGATTGCTGTCAAAAAAAACACACAAAAAACCCAAACAAACAAAAACCCCCAAAAGAGCAAAAAAACCCCTACTATGTGCACTATATTTAGGAAAAAAAGGTATTCTATGCTCTCCCGTCTTCTCTCTAGCCACTTATCCATATCAAGAGTCTCTGACATATGGCACGAGTTTCTACTCCTGGGTATTGTTCCATCAGCAGTATACAGTGCATGACACAGATCTGCTTTCTGCCACTGTAACACTTGTCATAAGGGAACCTCTGAAGTCCTCAGGTTTTAAACAAAACATTATCGATAATAAATAAAAGAAGCATTATTTTGCTTGATACTCTTACCAACAAGAGTGCGTTTTCTTGTCCTGACTCCTCCACAGTCCCCATTACAGGGAGAAAATTTTGACCAGTTCGTAAACTGACAGTCGTCTTGGCAGGGAATCTGGCACATCTGTGTTAAGGGTGGTAATGGGCCAGAGTATTTAAGGCACTCACTGATGTCAGCTTGTCCTCCATCTTGTCTGCGACAAGTAATTGCTGGAAGCAAAAAGAGATGGAGTCCAATTCACTTTTTTTTTTTTTTTTTTTTTTTTTTTTTAATGAATGTCTCTATTCAGTTAAATAAAGTCTACAACATTCTATCAAAAAATCACACTGAAAGCCCAGAGTACCTATACAACAACTTAATATTTGCCACCAGTTTTACCTTGAATGAATACATTTGACATTTCTCACTTAAGATTTTGTTTAAAATAATTTATCAGGACTTACCAGGAAAAAAAAATTACAGACAACTGTAAATGTTATAAAGGTTGCTCCATATTATCCACACCTGTCCATTTTACACACCATTTCTTCTGATATCACTGACACAATTTACATCTCAGACAAACATTTAAAAACTTATAATATCATATTAAGTAAGTTAATTGTATCAGTTATAAAGTTTTATCAGCAGACTGAATTTCAGAAACATGGATAAACTTAAAATTTAGAAGCATATTTGAGTTCTGGATACTTAACCCTTTACAAAAGTGTTGCTGCCTAATGTTCTTCAGCAATTTTTGGTCTTGAAAAATATTTGAAGAATACAGCATGTTTCCTAGGGAAAGATCATCAGCCAATAGAGATACAGCTTTATAGGACAGGATAGTCATGTCCTGAATAAAATCTTCTTACTTAAGAAAAACAAGTTCCTTAAGGAAACTTCAGGTCACACAAAAGTAAAGGAGTTAGAACATAAGGATTTACAAAGAATAGGGAGGGCAGTTTCATTAATATAGTCTTTAACAATCACAGAATGGTTAATGTCAAGGGATCACGGGAGGTCCCTGCTCAAGCAGTGCCCATGACATGGAATTGCGCCCAAAATGCTCTTGAATGCCTCCAGAGAAGGACACTCCACAACTCCTCTGGGCAATCTGTTCCAGTGCTCAGTCATCCTCACAATAAAAAAGCTCTTCCTCATGTTCAAGGGGAGCTTTCCGTGCTTCAGTTTCTGCCTGTTGCCTCTTGTCCCAAAACTTGGCTCCACCAAGAAGAGCCTGGTTCTATCATCATGACATCCTCCCTTCAAATACTTATAGGCACTGATACTCAGTCTACCCCTCTCAGTCTTCTCAAGGATGAACCGGCCTCAGCCTTTCCTCACAAGAGAGAAGCTCCGGTCCTTTAATCATCATTGCCACCCTCAGCTGGATCTGCTCCAGGAGCTCCATGCCTCTCTTGTACTGAGGGGCCCAGACCTGGATGCCAGGTGCAGCCTCGCCAGGGCTGAGTAGAATGGCAGGATCATCTCCCTCAACCTGTCAGCAATGCTCTTCCTAAAGCACCCCAGGACACCATTGGCATTTTTGGCCACAAAGGGCATTGCTGGCTCACGGAAAGCTCATTGTCCACTAGGATCTGCAGGCCCCTCTCCACAGAGCTGCTCTCCAGGAGGTCAGTCCTGGTGCATGGGTTATTCCTCCCTAACAGCCAGACCCTGCACTTGCCCTTGTTGAATATCAGTTCTCTGCCCATCTCTCCCAACTGTCTGAAGGGCTACACAGCCCTCTGGGGTATCAACCACTCATCCCAGTTTTGTATCACCAGCAAACTTGCTAAGGAGGCACTCTACCCCTTCATGAAAGTCAACAATGCTCTATAATTGTTTCTCAAGTATTTTTTTTAAAGTATGGTTGCTTATCTGGTCTAAGCTCAATAAACCTAACTTTAGTTTCTTTCCTTAAACATCATAAGACTTATTATACAGTAACAAGATAGGAAACTTCTAGTTGTTTGTTCACACAATAGAATTATATTTATGCTTCTTGGCATCTGACAGCACACAGTACACGCGGCATCTCGACTGTAAAATAATTTGGGTCACCTATTGTTGCAGTACCATTGTATCCAAATATTCTGTATGCATATGAAGGAATATAGCTTTTTATATTACACTCCATAGTTTAAATTGGGCTGATAATAATTGTTTTATTAGTACAAACTGAAAAAAAAAAAATCAAGTTCAACTGTTGGAGAAAAGGGGAGTATGAATGCAACACTTCAAAATAAAAGAGAAAATTGTCTATAAGAAAAAATTGCAGGTGTCCATCTCTTCTCTCTGGTGTCCACTGAAAGGATGCGAGGGAATGGCCTGAGGTTGTGTCAGGGGCTGTTAATTTAGACATTAAAAAAGGGTTCTTCACCCAGTTGGGAAATGAAGCAGGCTTCCCAGGGAAGTGGTCACAAGCCTGACAGAGTTCAAAAAGCATTGGGACAACACCCTCAGGCATATGGTGTGACTCTTGGGGTTGTCCTGTGCAGGGCCATGTGTTGGACATCAATGATCTTTGCAGGTCCCTTCCATTTCAGGATATTCTATGATTCTATAACTATTTCCTCCTGGAGGAAGAAAAGGAAGCATAGCTAAGGGAACTTTTTTTTTAATTGCTTTAAGGTAATTGTAATGGTCTAGTGACCTATGATTTCTTAAAAAACCTTTTTAGTCTGACAGTTCTAAACTAAATTTCTGCCTCATGATGACTTAGGAAGCTGAACTTGATGACCCATGTGTTCCATTTCAAGTCCACGTCCCTACTAAAACATACCCAAAGGTCCCAAGGGAATTTTTTTGCCACACATCTACTGTAAAACACTGAAAGATAGGGGAGGTGTGTTTTTCCTGAGATACTGAGCAAACAAGTTCCCTGATCCTTAACTGCCCTTTGGAGCAGGGCTGCCAGCACTGTTTGTAATAGGCTCAGTACTGCATTAAGTTGTGCTTATTGGGGGACTGGCCAGCTGCACACTGTCTAATACAATTATTCTGTCAAATCCTATTACTATTAGTGTAGTTTACATGAGGAATTTTTTTTTTCAGATATAGTTACAGTGTTTCAGTGAGAAAAGTCAAATATCTAAAAATTGAAAATCCATTCTATCAGATTTCTAAGATTGCACAAATATTTTAGAAAAACCCAAGTCAAACTTCCAAGAGAAGCCTAGGCTATAGCTTTGGATTCTTGTGAGATGCTCCTCTCTGCTAATAGCACACGTCAAGATCCCTAAGGTTGAGATTAGTTTTACCATGTGGAACTTCACAGAAATCAAACCCAACTCCTCTATCTTGAGATTGGCCTTGCTATGTGCACACATTAGCAAAATTAATTGCATTATCTTCACCGTGTTCTCAGGGAGATACAGGCCACCACTTTTAGCAGTGAAACTATATCTAGCCAACAACTAAAAGACAGTCAACTAACTAGCCAATATCCTTTAATAACTTTCTTCAAAAGTTTAATACTCATTTTGCATACTGCCTCTCCATCTAGCCCTTAGACTGAATAATAAGCATTATCCACCAAAGAACATTCTTTCTTTCTAGCTAAATTGACTTATTTTAAAACTGATATTCATTCCCTCATCTTTCCTAGTTATAAAACATTACTCCATGAGCTGATACCCATTATGTCATAAATTTTTTCAGACTCATATTAACGCATCTAATTTACATCCAGCAGAGTCAGGTGAAAAGCTCCCCTGAGGATTAACACTTTGGTTTTTTTCCAGATTAACTGTCAGTTGTACCGCAGCAATCAAAGAAGGCAAACTTCATTCTCAAGACCTAAATATTTCACCTTAATAACAACACAAATTAGAGGACAGCACGACATACTAAATCAATTCCTGAATCTTAATTTTCACAGTGCCTGTCCATAACTATTCAGGCTACTTCTAGCTGATACCTCTTGGATGATTCGCTCTATATTCCATTTTCCTATTGTTATTTTCCAGATTCAGGTAGCAAAGTTTATACTCCTTATGACTGCTGAAAAAGCATTATTAGAAGCAGGGATTTTGACAACTGCATATGTTCCATTAATACACTCTTTTGGACAGCTAACAGTCCTGACATCTGAAATGCTCTTACTGTTAGAGGAGTTACATTTTCCACTCACAAGGTAACCTGGGCAAACTCATCCCCTGCCTCTTTGATCAAACCTATGGAAGTTTAAGTAGAGGTTGCTGACATCGATGATTTACTTGCTATACAGAGAAGTGTCTTCAACTGCTATAAAGCTATACTGTACCAGACTAATTAATTTGCTTATACAACTACCTTATATTTATTACAGACATTAGCTGTAAGTGGAAAGAGTGTAGTTCCTCCATTACTGAATTAAACACAGTAACTATTAAGTGAAAAAATAAAACAAGAGTACAGCTAACAGAAAAATCAACTTGAACATAGAAACCATTCACTTACAAAATTGTTCTGGTATTTTACAACTATTAGCTCCCAGAAGAAAGGTGTGAAATAAATAGCAGTCTAAATTTTATAGACAAGGGACTTTGATGTAATTAAAACTTTGTCAGATAGCATTGTTTCCATCAAGTCCCCACAGGAGACTACAGGCTAATATATTTCTTGTTGGTATAATGAAACACTGAGACTGTATTTTAGCAAGTCATGTCACGTGTGAGTTTATATGAAAACCTTTCCAGTGCTACCATCATTAGCATACTTCACTGACATTTCACTAAGGTGTGAGATTCAGTGCCTCCTATACCTAAAAAATTATTTTTATTTTCCTTTCTTTTACCATACAATTGTAAAAGATTGTGATATCACAATTGTAAAATTGTGATATAATTTTTTTCAATTGCTAAGTATTTTTAACAACAAAAATATTTATTTCCAATTCTAGAAAACAAGAATTATTTCAGGACACTAAGTTTTCTTGTGCTTTCTATCCATATTGTCTAAGCTATGATTTCATCTATGTTTATTTCTTTCTTTGTGGGACACAGCGGACTAGACACAGTGTGACAAAATATTCCTACCACAAAGTATCTTAAGAAGAAGCATATGCCCATAATATTGTGAAAATACAAGACTGAGTGCTCTTTATGTTCCAAAGACAATAACAATGTATTTCTGCCAAAAAAAAAGTTGTATGAAGATTGTGGCTCTTTTTTTGCAAATAAAAAATTAGGTTCTCATGTAAACACTGCTTTTGAGCAGCTGTCCAAATTCTTACTTATGACTCCTG